GGACAAACACAGTCTCCTCTGCACATCTCTCTGGGCCCCCGGGGGGGGGGGGGGCTTGACTCCCGACTGTGGCTTGCCCTTGAAGCCATTTTCCTCCAACACATTCTTCTCCACTCCCAATCAGCTGCATGCTCGTGCTCGGACAGCTGCAGGGCTGCTCAGGCCTTTCCTTCACTGCTCTCTAGGGAGCAATTAGATTCCAGGTTTTCCTTCTGTATTCCTTTGACATTTTTTTTCCCTTTTTGGGTCACACCCAGTGATGCACAGGGGTTACTCCTGGTTCATGCACTCAGGAATCACTCCTGGCGGTGCTCAGGAGACCATATGGGATGCTGGGGATTGAACCTGGGTTGGCCGGGTGCGAGGCAAAGGCCCTACCTGCTGTGCTATCGCTCCAGCCCCTCCCTTGACTTTTTACTGGTCCTTTTTTTTTTTTTTAATTTTTATTAATGAAACACCATGAGGTACAGTTGTAGACTTACCGATTTTTGTGCTTGGCTTTCAGTTATACAATGATAGAATACCCATCCCTCCACCAGTGCCCATTCTCCACCACCTCTGATCCCAGTATCCCTCCCACCTCCCATCCTCCCACACCCCCCACCTCTGTGGCAGGGCATTTCCTTTTGTTCTCTGTCTCCCTTTGGGTGCTGTGGTTTGCAAAAGAGGCATTGAGTGGCAATCATGTTCGGTCTACAGTCTACTTTCAGCATGCATCTCCCATCCTGGGAGGATCCTCCCAACACCCTTTACTTGGTGCTCCCTTCTCTATCTGAGCTGCCTTTTCCCCAGTGTGTGCTGCTGGTCTCCAAGCCATGGAGTAAACCTCCTGGTACTAATCTCGGCCATTCTTGGGTGTTAGTCTCCTGTTTTGTTACTTTATGTCCCCCAGATGAATGCAATCTATGTCTGTCCCTCTCTTTCTGACTCATTTCGCTTAGCATGATGCTTTCCATGCAGTACCATTTGCATGTAAATTTCATGACTTCATCTTTTCTCACAGCCACATAGTACTCCATTGTGTAGATGTACCAAAGTTTCTTTAACCTTGATTGGTCCATTTTTTATTGATTTTTTTTCCTCTCTAGAAAGAATTCATAGGAGGTGAACTTTGGGGGTGCTTATGTGTTTTAGACATGCCTTTTCCTATATTTAAAAAATTTTACAATTTGGATGCAATTTATTTATTTATTTATTTGCATTTTGGGTCACACCCGGCATTGCACAGGGGTTACCCCTGGCTCATGCACTCAGGAATTACTCCTGGCGGTGCTCGGGGGACCATATGGGATGCTGGGAATTGAACCCGGGTTGGTCACGTGCGAGGCAAACGCCCTACCCACTGTGCTATCGCTCCAGCCCCGATGCAACTTTTTTTAACTGGATATTAAGTATCAGTATTCATTTTATTTTCCACTGGTCACGGGATTATTTTAGCATTCATAATAGGTAATATTAGGGTCAGAGAGAGAGTACAGTGGGTAGGGCTCTTGCCTTGCTTTCTCTGTTTCGTCCATAACAGTGAGGGCAGCTTGTCTTAGAACTCTGAAGGCAGAGTGCCACTGTCTGTGGGGATGGAATGGGGTGGATGACCAGCCCATTTTGGCTCCTCTGAGCTTTGTCCTCTGGACGCCGTGAGGACCTTCCTTTAGGGTGTGATGAACTATCACATCACACAGTTACGGTCTATTTTCCCTTTCTTTGCCTGGCACGTGGTATTTCCATCTCAAGATTCTGGCTGTTTCTTCTAGGAAATTAAAAATTGATGTTTACCTGCTCATAATTGTAATTCAAATTATGAAACAACCTCCAGTACACTCTCTCTTTTCTCTTCCAGTAAATGCTCAAGTCTGACCATCAACATATCAAGGACCGGAGAGACGGTACAGCTGGTAAGGTGCTGGCCTTGCATACAGCTGACCTGGGTTCAGTGCCTGGCGTCCCACATGATCCCGAGTACTGCCAGGAGTGATTCCTGATTTCGGAGCCAGAAGTAAGCCCTCTAGCATCGCTGGGTGTGACCCCCAAACAAAACAAAACAAAATATGCTCCCCAAATGATCAAATACAGACCCCCCACCCCTGACAAACAGAAAGTACCATATATCAGGGAAATAACAAGTTTCCATGTTTTGGAATAGCATGTAAAAGATGCCTAAATAAAAACCTGTTGAATGTGGCTAGTGTACTAAGCAAGGCCTAGATTTTGAATTACTTACTGAATTATATTTCGTTTTGGGGGCTACACCCAGCTACGCTCTTGGTTTTATGCTCAGAAATCACTCGGCAGGACTCGGGGTAACCATAGGGGGTACTGAGGATCGGACCCAGGTCGCCCTTACGTGCAGTAAGTGCCTTACCCCCTGTACTATTGCTCCTCCTCCGAGTTATGAAAATCTTTAGTAAAAAAACCCACAAAGCCCTAAGATAACCACTAAAAATGCACAAACTGTGCATCTCTGACAGCATTCGAGATCTTTGCAGGACTACTTTATTATTTTTCTAGTTTATCATATTTTCTTTTGTGTGCTAGGTTGTTATTTATCAAAGTGTGTCATTCCATGTCTCCACACACGATTTTCTATTTTATTCCCAAAGGACTCCATATCCTTCCTCTTACCTAGTTTAAGAAGTTCATTATTAACTCACCACTATTTAATTTTATATTTTAAAGCTTTTTTTTTTCCTTTTTGCTACCCCCTGAGGTATTATTGGCTTTTCACTCAGGGATCACTCTTGGTGGGGCTCGTGTCGGGTATGAGTTGGGAGCTTAGGGGTGGCAGGATTGAACCCAGTCAGCTGCGTGCAAGGCAAGAACCCAGCCTGCTGTTCTGTTTCTAGACCCTCACCAGGATTTTAGCTTTCTTCTATTCTGCAGTTATTCCTTTATGAGACAAAATTAGTAAACTATTTCCATTCCTCAGTTCTGGCTCAACCTTGCTTATCAACTACAAAAATACGTCAAGTCTTCTTGGGTGGCGTTTCACGCCAAATCTTACAAACGGTTTCTACAAATCATTGGCTGTCCTCGTCTCAAAGAATAGCTGGATTTTGGCTCTCATTCCCAAGGCCATAACAATAAGCTTAGCTTTTTTTACTTTCGATTTTTAGTGTTCATTTTGGGGCCACACCCAGTGGTGCTCAGGGCTTACTCCTGGCTCCATGCTCGGGGGACCCTACGGGATGCCCGGCTTGGCTACGTTGGAGGCAAACACCTCTCTGCTGTACTATCTCAGGCCCACTTTAGCTTTTTCTGATGCACAGAGCAGGGTAGAAGGAGACTCACCAATAACGCTGTGGAAAGTCTCACCAAAAGCCAGAGAAGAACCAAGCAAGGAGCCTTGAGAAGTGGGGGAAATTACACTAGCAGAGTCGGGCCGAAACACCTGATTCAGAACAAAGGCAGAAGATGGAGGCGGGTTCCTTTGCAGGCAGCCGGCAGGCCAGTGCAGACTCAGAAATGCCAAGGCGTGACATTTCTCAAGGGCTCTGGGCCACCTCAAGGCCAGGAGCACATCTGGCCACTGTGTTCATAATTACCAAGGCCACCAGGAAGGACTCAACCATCTCAAAGCCATCCTGAATGCACTCCACCTTCTGTCATGTCACCCAGACTCAGCTGCCCCGTAGCAGATCCTGACCTCTGGTATTAGCCTCTAAGACATGGGTTTGGGGACAGACCTCTTTTCCTCATCAATAACGCATTTGTCTCCTGTCTGTCTGTGGGAGACACAGTTCCTAACTTCTTGCTTTGCATGCTCTGCGTGCAGGAGCCAGGATGGTCTCGCCGCCCCTGGTCCGCTACGCAAGGTGGGCCAGGACCCCAGAGCACGTAGTCAGGAGAAGCCCCGGAGCACCCCGGGGTCTGTCCCCGCAAACCTAAGTGAAAAAATTCCCAGATGGCGTACAGTCCAGGGCGCGCTACGTTTCTGCATTTCCGACTGGCGTGCCGAAACTCAGAGCCACCTCTCCTCGTGTCTTCCAGGACGCGCACCGTCCGCGGTGGGAAACGTGCACGGGGGAGGGCGGGCTGGGCGCTGGATCATCGCACGACTGGAGCCCGATTATGAGCAGCTCTAGAACGGTCTACCCGACATTCAATTCAATTTGAATTCACCGTCAAAGAAAGATCAAAACACAACACGCGCCTTCAAGGAAAGAAAACCCGCACCTCCCGCCCCCAAACTCAGGCCTCGCCCCCCGCGCCCCCGCCCCTCCCCCGCGCCTCACTCCGCAGCGCCGAGTGCTCGCCAGCGCCACCTCGCGCAGGAAAGGGGCGCTGCGCCCGCCGCTCTCCGGGCAGGGGCGTCCCCCGGGGGCCAGGAGCAAGGGCGGGGAGCGCCCACTGGGCGCCAGAAGTCCAAGGGGCGAGGGCGGAGAGAAGCCCCGGGGGCGCTCAGCCGACAGCGGCCTGGGAGAGCAGGGGGACCGAGCTCAGCGACAGACCGCGTCGCGTCCGGGGCAGCGCGGGGCCAGGGCTAGGGCGGGAGGGCCCCGGGGCGGCCCTCACCGCGTGCACGAGGCCGCGAAGCCAGCACGGGGGCCGCCGCGGGGCCCCGGGGTGCGTCACAGAGCGCGGCGGGGAGCGCCGGGGGCCGGCTATGAGGTGGCCGCGGAGGACGGCTGCGGCCGGCCCGCGCGTGGGTTTCCGGGGGGCCACGCCCCGCCGCGCTCCGCGCTTCCCCCCGGCGGCCGGGGCGGGGTCGAGGGTCGACCCCCCGCCGGCCACGTGCGAGGCCCGCGCCCGGGCCCGGGGTCCGCCTCCGGAGGGGCGAGCGGGCCCAGGGCGGCCCGCGGCGCCCGCTAGCTCGGCCCTCGGGCGGGGGCGGCCGGGGGCCGTCCCGGGCTGCGCGCGCGGGATGCTCTGGCCGCGGGCGGGCGGCGCCGGGCGCGGCTCGGGGGCGGGGCCTCGCGGCTCGGGGGCGGGGCCTCGCGGCCCGGGGGCGGGGCCGGCGCGCGGGCCGCGGCGGGCGGCGGGCGGCGGGGGGCGGCGGGGGCGGCGGCGGCGGCGGCGGCGCGGGCCGAGCGGCGCGCGGATTGGCTGCGGCGGGCGGAGACGTCAGGCAGCCGCGGCCCGAGCGGCCGCCCGCCCCGGCGCGGCTCGGCGCAGTCGGCTGCAGCGCGCCTCGCCGTGCGGAGGTGTCCGAGCCCTCCCGCCCCGCCGAGAGCCGGGTCGCGCCCCCGCGCGCGCCTCGCCGCCGCCGCCCCCGCCGCCCGCCGCGCCGCCTCGCCATGACCAAGCCGGAGAAGAAGACTTTCCACCAGAGCCTGGCCGAATGGAAGCTCTTCCTCTACAACCCCGGCACCGGGCAGTTCCTGGGGCGCACCGCCTCGAGCTGGGGTGAGCGGCGGCCGTTGGGCGCGCCCGGGGGCGGGCGGGGGCGCGCGCGCCCCGAGCCCGATCGCGCCCGACCGAGCCCGGTCGCGCCCGCGGGGCCGCACGTGCCGGCCCGGCCCCGGGCGCCGGAAGCGGGACCCCCGCGCCCGCCTTTGTCCGGGGCGCGCCGCCGGCGCAGAGGAAATTTCCACTCCCGCCGCGTCCCGTGACCGCGCCGGCCCGGAGTCACCGCAGCCCCCTCGGCCGGGCCGGGGCCGCGGCGGCGGGTCCTGCGCGCTCGGACCCGCCGGGCCGGGCAGGGGCACGAGCTGGGTCCAAAAAAACTTACTTTTCCCCCCTCTCTCTGCTCCGAGTCTCCGCGGTGGGTCTCTGAGCTCCAGCCCGAGCCCTTTGTTTTGCAGCCCGCCCACCCTCGCTCGCCGGCGTAGTCTCGTGGATGCTTTTGGGGGGGTCTTGAAAAATTGTATGGATTTAGTGCCCCTCCCCTTCCTTTCTTTTTGCTCTTGGTGGGGGGGCGTGGGTGTTGTGCCGAAGGAAGCGGACCTGCGTGCTGGGGAAGGTGAGTGGGCCCCAGGGTGCGGCGGGCTCGGGGCTCCTTCCCAGACGCCAGGGTCCTGCGCATCGCAGCTGCAGGGCAGCGGGACTGCCCGGCGCCCCGATGGACCCCGAGGGTCGGGGCGCGTCTCCTCGGGTGGGACGGCGGCCTCGGAGGCTTTTCTCCTCCTAGCCCCCCCCCTCCCCAGCACACACTCACACACTCGGGAGATGAGGAACCGAGACCCAGAACGAAAGGTGGTGATTTGACTCTGCGCGAAATTACAGATTCCGCGGAGCCAGGGAGGAAGCCCGCAGGGAGCCGGTCTGACAGCAGAGCAGCCCCTCGAAAGTGATTTCTTCGTGGTGGCTGCTGAATCGGACCGTCTTGAGGGAGCCCGCTGGCTTCTTGCTTAAGGGAGCAGGATCTTCTCTCCAAACCGTGGGGTGGTTTGCGGGGGGTGTTGAGGCGTCCTCGACCTTGAGTGTCCTCGTTTTTTGGCAGAAGGGGTTTTCGGGCGGGGAACAGGATTCGGTCTTTGAAGGTGATCTTCCTGTTCCTGAACCCTTCCTCACCGCATCTTGTCATTTCCAGTAGGATGTCCCTTCCCTTGGGGGCCGGGGTGGCCCTTGTCCCGGAGGAAGCAGTCCCTCTCTCACCTTTCCCTTGCCAGGTGGCGAGGTAGAGATTGAGAGATTGTCATTGGAGAAGACACTGACATACCTCGTGCATATCTGCTTGAGGTGTAGGGGATGCTGGGGCAGGAGGGATGGCGCAGGAGGTAAGGTGGCAGGCCTTGTGTGTGGCCGTCCCAGCGAGACCTTGGTCAGATCCATGGGGGCCGTAGGGTCGCCAGAGCAGCGCTCGGTATGACCCGCATGCGTGTTTGTGTATGTGTCCCACACATAGGGCAGTCTGCAAGGCAGGGCAGATGGAGTTAGGGTTTGTTTAGAAGGATTCGGCAAGGTTTTCTTCAAAACTCAAAAGTGGGGGCGCATGCCATCGTGGTGAGTAGGGAACTTTCCTTGCATGTGCCCATGGGGGTTGGACCCCAGCACCCTGTCTGATCCCATCCCCCTTGCGTTACTAGGAGTCACTCCTGAGTGTGTGGCCCCCAAACAGAAAACCCAGTCGCTTTTTTTTTTTTTTAAGTATAGTAAATTCAGTAGTAAGTTCCCGCATGCAGTGGCATAAGTGCGTGAAAGGCCTTCGTAGCCCTGTTCAAACAGAATGCGTCCTTCCAAGGATCTCTGAGGATCGTTTGCTGGAAGCGGGACTCTGTGCTTCAGCTGTGAGCCCCGGCCGTGCCTGTGTGAAAGGGTTGAAAGCCACTGCGCTCCATCCTGGCCACTGCAGCTTTCTCCTCTCAGGACACTTTCTGATTTGGGGCCACACCCAGTGATGCTCAGCGGTTACTTCTGCGGGGCACCGGACCGAATGGAATGCCAGGGATTGAACCCGGCTCAACCATACGCAAGGCAGGCTCCTCTCCTCTCTCACTCCAGCCCCTCGACGCTTTTTCACCCAAGAAAGATTTACATGTGTGCGGGCATCTAGGTGTGTAACATAGGTATACACATCTTAATAAGTCGGGAAGGAATTGAAAACTGATTTTGAATTCCAAAACCCCATCTGGGGCTGGAACCCAGAGTTTCAGAAACTAGACCCGAGTGTGTCCAAGTCTGTCGGAGAAAAGGGGTGTCTGATTGCTCTCCCGAGCAAGATCCCCACTTTCTTTCTCTTTTTTTTTTTTTGTTGGTTTTGGGCCACGTCTGGGGTCAGTCAGTAATCCTTGGTAGGACTTGGGGTGCCAGGGATCACACCCAGGTCGGCTACGTACATGGCAAGTACCTTACCTGCAGTACTGTCACTCCATCCCCAGATACTTTGAACATGTTGCTCTAGATGTTTCTTTTTTCGATGGGCAGGTGTTTTGGGTGCTACCCTTTGGTGCTTGGGCTGTCAGTGACTCCTGGCAGTGGTCAGGGGGACCATCTGCATGGATGGGGATTGAACCTGTTAGAGCTTTCAGAGAAGACTACATATAGTAAGTGTTTTAGGGTTTCTCAGTTTATTGAGGGTATCTACCACGTCAGGCAAAGAGTTCTTTTTTTTTTCTTCCTCGGTGTTTGAACCACACCACGCATTGCTCAAGGGCTGTTGGCTCTGTTCAGTGACCAACCATATGCACCCTGGACCCTCCCGCATGCAAAGCATATGAAATCTCTGATTTTAGGGCACTTTGTTTTTCTTTCTTTTTTCTGTTTGTTTTTTGGGTCACATCTGGAGGTGCTTACAGGCTCTCTGCTCAGGGATCCGTTCTGGTGGATGTGGGGGGATTGATTGAACCTGGGTCAGTCTGGTGCAAGGCAAGCACCCAGCCTGCTGTACTCTCACTCCAGCCCTTTAGGTCACGATTTTCATAGCTGACTAGTGTTCTTTGGTCTAGTTGAACCCACTAGTTGTTTTTTTATGTACCTGCAATGGAACACATATGCTCGGCTAGTAATGTACCACTTGAGCATTCCCCCCCTCTGAGCTATGATTTTTTTTTTTTTTTGGTGTGGGGGCAGGGTGGGGCGCTGCTATCCAACTGTTAAAAGGAGCCTACTCCCTACTTCTGCTGGGAGGGGGTAACTCCAGTGGATGCTGGGGTACCATGCTGTGCCCAGAATGGAATTTGATCCTCTGGCTTGCAAACATGCAGTCAGCTCTTTGAGCTGTTTCTTTGGCCTGTACTGTTGTGTGTGTGTGTGTGTGTGTGTGTGTGTGTGTGTTGTTTTTTGTTTTTTGTTGGGGTAGGAGAGAGTGGGGGGCAATCCAGCTATGCACACAGCTTACTTCTGGCTCTTCCCTCAGTGATCACTCTCAAAGGGCTTGGGGATTGAACCCTGATTGGCCATCTACATTGTTTTTGTTTCTTAAGCAAATTTATTGGAGGGGGGAGAGTGCAGAAAAATAGTACAGCGGGTAGGCTCTCGCCTTACAGGTGACTGACCTGGGTTTGATGCTTTGCACCATATATGGTCTCCCTAGCCCCGCCAGGAGTGATCCCGGAGTAAAGAGCCAGGAGTCAGCCCTCAGAACTGGCAGATTGGCACCAAAACAACAATGGCAAAAAAAAATCCAAAAAACTAAACTCAAATTTATTAACTTGTATACGTCAAAAAAAAATGCGTGGAAGATACCCAGGGGGAAGTGAGTAATTCCTGATTGTTTTTAGAAAACTCTCCTCCCATTCCCTGACCTTTGCAAGCTCCTTTCCTGGAGGTGTGTTTCTACTGCTGGAATTTGTAGTTCGTGTACAATATACATGCCTTTTATGCTTTAGAAATACTTATGATTTTTTCCCCTTTTCCTTAACTGCATTTTTAATGTAGCATAGATGGTCAAGCTCTCTAAGCGTTTTTTTTTTCTTTTTGGGTCACACCCAACAATGCTCAGGGGTCACTTCTGGCTCTGCACTCAGGAATTACTCATGGCGGTGCTTGGGGGACCGTATGGGATGCCAGGGATCGAACCCAGGTGGCTGCATGCAAGGCAAACGCCCTACCCGCTGTGCTATCTCTCCAGCCCCGACCCATCTACTCTGAGGTTTGACTGGTAGGGCATTAGCTATATTGAGAGCACAGTATTATTGACTTTGGTTTGGGGGCCTTCCCGCACAGGCCAAAACCCGCTCTACTGAACTCTCACCCCAGCCTAGGAAGATGCATTTATTTATTTTGTTTTTTTATTGGGGTTGCTCCTGGCTCTGCTTGGGTTGCTCATGGAGGTACTTATGGGAGCTTATGTGGCGCTGGGAATTGAACTGAATCATAGTTGGAATTGAACTGGAGTCAGCTGAAGGCAAGGCAAGCACCTTAACCCCCCCTGTATTATCTATCTGGATCAAGAACAAACATTTAAACAATTTTGCCCTGATAAAATGGAAATTCTTTTCTATTACATCTCATTGCCTTAAGATAGCTCTCTCTGAGGGCTGCAGAGATGATGCAGAGATTAAGACTCTAGCCTTACATGTGGCCAAGCCTGGTTTGATCCCCAGTACTTTGTGGTCCCCCTGTGGTTGAAGCAGGAAGGTGGGGTGGAGGCGGTCGTCCCCGGTAATCTGCACCTGGGGACCCTAGCGGCTCGGCACCCTCGGGCCCTTGCCTTGATCCGCAGGCCTGGTTGGTGGTCTCCGGGAGGACGTCCTGAGCCCTCCTTGGGAGGCTGTGTCCTCGCCAACCCCCCAAATACATGCAGACCTACATTTGGGTCCGTAGCGGCTCTTTGTGCAGTTTCAGACGTCGCACGAATCAACTCGGTGGACTTGTCAGCCTTCCAGAACACAACAGGGTCAGTGATCTGAGTGTGCCCAGAGCGGACTTTCCTAGCTGAGCCGCCTACCCACCAGCAACGCAAGGTCTCCCTGAAAACAGAGCGCTTAGCAGCTTAGTGGGTCTCTAAGCCTCGCTGCATTAAA